CTCCCGCCTCCCCCGCCAGGTGTTCCCCCTCATAGCCGAGTTCCTGGAGCACCACGACGCGCGCGCGCCCCAGAGCAAGATGTGACGTGGCAGCAAGCCGACACGCCCCAATGCCGTGATGACGTCACGTGGTGCAAACAACCAACGGCCGGGCGGGGCTGAATCCCGTCGGCTGGGCGCAACCGCCTGTCCCACGGGCGCGGGCGCTTTGCTGCGGTCTGGCAGGCTTGGTTGTTTGATGCCAGGCCACACTGGCCTGGCGGTAGTGCACGAATGCTGTCCGCAGAGTTCTGCGGGGGCCGGCCTCGGATGAGGGGCATCAGCTCGCTGGGACTCGCTCGAAGGCCGAGGTTAGGTGCGCAACAGCCGCCTATTGCGCGGCTGCAGCACCGCCTCGCTCGCATGCGGCCGGCGCCGCCGTCCGCATGCTCCATGTTTTTTGGGCGGTGGGGCCGCGCTAGGCCAAACAGACAGAAACTACCCATGTGCGGCGCAGCCTGCAGTGCGGCGCACTCATGAACAATTTTGGCCTTCACGAATGATGATCGGTCGCGCCCCGCCACCCCCTGCACACTGTCATTCTACCTCCAAGCATAGGAATGCCAACACGCGTCACCGCATGCACTGACCTTGTGCAGGCGCACAGTGCGCCCACTGCAGCCCACAGCGGCCACCGAGCCGCGCTGCTGTTGGGCGCGCTGCGTGCAGAACAGCGACTAGTGCAAACCCGCGCGCTCTTGCTGCTGGCCTTGAATCGTGACAGGAGAGGCAACACGCCTCTTCCCATTTATGTCTTAAGCTTTGCAAAGTTGAGGCAGCTTTGCCAGTCCTCACCAGTTTCCCCGCCGGCGTCATTCGCCGCCCGCTGTTCACCCACCCAACGATGGATTTTTTTTTGGCAGACAGAGAGGCAACTCTTCTTCTCGTTCTCGTGCAACCCCTTGTAACCTGTGTGAGGCGTGAATCGGCGCATGGCAAAGCAGGGAGGTGGGTTCTTACGTTGTCATCATGGCCACTGCAGCGGCCTGGGGGCGGTGTGGGCGGGCTTGCCGCGACTTGCGCGCTGCCAAGAGGCTGCGAGTTTGTTGTGGGAGGGTCAGGCGGTCGCCTGCCGCACGGACGACCGGCACGCTGCAAAAGAGGTTCAACTCTTCCTGGTCATGCACAGGTTTTTGGGTTCGAAGGCCACTTGGTGCTGGATGACACACTGCATGACGTATAGCCCCAGCCTTGCTTGAGGAGCGCGTCCAAACCTGTGATATCTTGATCAACAGGTGTAAGATTGAGCCCCCCGACGCTCCTGCCGGATTCACAACTTCCACCAACCCCCGTGGCGTGATCCCCTCCAGCACAAAGATACATGTGAGGTGGTGGTGATGATGGACGGAGGTGCCGAACAATAGAATAAGGAAAGGGGATTCCAGCCGCCCGCCCGCCCGCCGCCGCCCGCCTCCGAGGCGGGCGGGGAGTCCCCGGCTTCCTCTGCCGTGGCCGTGGTGACGAGGGGCCCCAAACAAACTCGTTCCCCTGCAGGGACTCGACAGCCAACGGCAGCCCTCTGCACAGCAGCTCGGGCGCGGAAATGCGTTTTTGTCAGATGGTGATGATGACAAAGTGGCCAATATTCTGCAAGAATCCAGCCCCGTCGGCAGGCTGCTCCGGCATGCCTTGCTGCCGTTATTTGCAGCAACTGATGAAGGTGGTGGTGGTGGGGGGGGGGCCACCCCTGCAGACCTTGAACCAGTTGGCTATTGGCTCCTCTGTGTGCCTGTCCCTGCCCAACAGCCCGACCCAACCCAAGCAGCGGTCGGCTGCCCTGAGAGAGCAAGAGACTACGCACGCTGTACATGTTACGCCTGCGTAAATGCATGAAGAGGGGGCTTGCTTGCCGTCCCCTCGGGCCGAGGCCGCCGCACCGCCCCACCACCATAGACCCCCCAAACCATAGTAATGGAGAGGGGGCCAGTCCCCCTATGTCGAACGGCTTGGCGGCCGCTTCTGGGCGCCACTTCTCACTCGCACACCCGACAAGCAGACGGCTGCAGCCACGCGCACTCAGTCTGCCGCCGCTGCGGGGCGCAGGGGGGCGAGCCCCGCCGCACCCAAACACAAATCTGTGATGGTCAGGGGGCCAAAAAACGTTGTTCCCCCACAGGGACTCGACCCGCTTCGTTGGCGGCCGCCTCTGGGCACCTCCTCCTCACACGCACACGCACCCGACAGGCAGCCCCACCGGCTGCAGCTACGCGCACTCCCTCTGCCGCTGCGGGGCGCGAGGGGGGCGAGCCCAGCCGCACCCAAAAACGATATTTGAGATGGCCAGGGGCCCAAAAACTTGGTTCCCCCACAGGGACTCGACCCGCTTGGCGGCCGCTCCCGGGCGCCACTTCTCACACACC